AATTTCTGTTTGTTTGAAAACTGAAAATTCATCCCCAAGAAAAAAAGTATTTTTGATAACTTATATAAATGGACTATTGCCAGATGAGGGATAGCTTTATGTTGTTTTTCTAGTTCACAAGACTTTCGAAGGATTAAGAGAGAAAGTCAGTTAAATTTGCATGTATATTTGAAAAGGACACATTTAAACGCCGAGTTGATAGGTTATGATTTTTCTTCCAACCGCTAGTTTATTTCCCTGAGCTAAATTGTTATATTTGGCCATACCTCAAATAGGCTTATACTAGTACGCTGAGTCCGTAATTTTGATGTAACGGGAACCAAAATGGAATGGGCTTCGGATTGTGCAAATATTTTGACGTGTCACCACATCAAATAAGCCTTTTAAAAGTTAAACTTTAATAAAACTGGAACACTGAGTTCGCGTGAACATTAAAATTTGAATTCCCCATACTAAAGACACTGTGATTAACCTCGTAATTCGGGGTTACATAAGAGACGCCTTGCACCAATACACTGTTTTGAATAGATAGGAAGGGCACAAAGGAAACGGTCCATTCCTGTGATGATGGTCGTTATGCAAAGCTTGCCCGAATCACGAGGTATAGCAACAGTGTCTTTAGTGTAGGGGATTCAAATCGTTATATTTATGTGCAATCAGATGACTCAATGTACCAGATTTTATTAAAACTAAAATCGCAAAAGGTTTATTCGAAAGGGCTTCATATAATGATCACGACATAACTTTTAAAAGTTGACAATAATACTCATCTCAACATGTCATGATTGCCGCTAATAATACATTTCAAAAATAGTCCTTTTATTGAATAAAGCGAGCAATTTAAAAGTCCTTTATAGGACAATAGTATTTTCGAGTTAATATCACTGGGCTTATATGCACCACGAAATAACATCATAAACAAATCAAAGTTCACGGAAGTATGTGATAAGGCGAGAAAGATAAAAATAGACATTTGGAATTAAACGTTCCTGATGCGCACGATCCACGATTGTGCGCATCAGGAACGTTTAATGCTACCGGTTATCATTATGCTCTCAAGTGTGATATTTTCATTTGTAGGAATTGTCTATCAGACTCAGTGCGAACGCCTGAATAACCTGCTGAAGTCTGCAACGTTTTTTTTAGAAATCTTAATAGAGAACTTTGGTTGTAACCTCTCCAAGGGAAGCCTACACCAACTCTCGAAATTATCGAAGATCGACAGCACCTTTTATAACTCAGAAGTTATTGCAATGTGTACAGCTTACCAAAATAAAATATAGCAAAGCCTAGCCGCAAGAAGTTAACAGACTATTATATTTTTAAATTAGATAATTAGCTATGAGTTGGAAATAACGCCCTAACTTACGATCGAGCACTCAAACTCGACCGTAAAGACGCCTTTTTCATATGCCCATCAACACTTTTGTAAAGCGTTGCGTATCAGTAAAAGTCGCTTTCAGACTAACTTGGACGGCCGAACGTAACGCACAAGTGTGTTGTGGGAATGGAGTCGATTTTTGTGTCTGTAAAAGTGAGAAGCATTAACGCGTTGTGTACGCAACGCACTCAAAAAACGTACATATTGAAAGGCGCCTTAAATGGAATGCATTCTCAGGGCAGATTTAGTATATCTGACGTAAAACACGATTTGAAACTTCAGGTAGACCACGGACTAAGGAAAATACCCATGCGCCTGCTGCGCTTAGATCTAACGACTCTAAAGACAAACATAAGCCTTCGTGAATGGTCGGACCAAGTCGTTCGTCCCAGTTCAGCTGGTTTGCACATCAGGCTGGTCGCAGTTCGACTTGATTTTTCCACAGCATATGAAAATGGTAGAAACGGATAGCTAGTGAGTGCAATACGGTTAACAACGAAAGCCTTGACCGAGGATAGATTGACCATGGAGGAAGGACACAGAAGTTACAACTGTGGTAGCAATTTTTCAAATGACACCCATTCACTTTCTCAGGCTCTTTGGACAATTTTGCAAAGACAACTTTTCGTCTGCTTTGCTCTCAGATAAGGAGCCCCTTAATCTAGAATGTTGATCCTTGGCAATACTTACAAGCTCCCACAATTTCTAGGCCCATACAAACTCTTATTTTCAGAAGAAACTGTCCAGCGGTGTATTTGAATTATTGAATTAGGACAGTGCACCCTTTAATTCAGTCAAGGTGACCTGACGCACTTCTAAGATTAGACTAAACATTAGAATCTTTCTCCCCAAATCCAAAAAAAATACCTCCGACACCTACGAGTGCGTATCCAATGGGCATGCGCAAGCATTTCCTCTGAAAAGAACAAAGACCCTGACGTCAACCCTCATACACTGCAGGTCTCATGACTGAACATTCCAGAATTCCGTAGGTAACTCCCCCGTTTTAATATGCCACAGACAAGATGGCATGGGAGGGATGGAAACGGAGGTATTTCTTATTAGAACAGAAAGTTCCTACAGATTGGGGAGTTTCTATTACAAAAAGTACCACACCCCCGATACCTGCAAATGCTGAGAAGCACTGGACTGACCAGTGTTGTAGCACCGGTACTCGGTACTCGTCGAGTACCGTTTTCAGAGTACTCGTACTCATACTCGGACGTCCAAGTACTCGTACTCGAACTACAGTTCTTGTACTCGGGCTACAAAATACTCGCAACTCGACATCCAAAAATGCACTAGAGCATCAAAGTACTCGATCAGAAATCCTTTAAGTTAACTTACCACGGCCGTTAAGTAAGGTACAAAAATATCGACCCCAATGACCCGATATTCGATACAGTTCTGACAAAAAGAGGGCCGAATGCGGGACCATTAATAACGTATACGACCCATTCGCCGTCTGTGAGCGTACATAACCAATCACGTACGCGAATTATATTGTGGTACTCCAGATTGGTCCCGCGGTTTATTTGGGCATTGGTAGTCTGGTTCCAATACTCGTACTCGTACTCGGATTAGAAGTACTTGTACTCGT